CACTTTATACCAATAATGTCTTTAAAGGATGGCTGTAAATCATGTGAATTAAACAGTGGCACAGCCTCGACCATCAAACATTTATGTAACAATTCAGTCATAAAATGGTAAAAAAAAGATCAATACAAAACTCTCATGCGTATATTGAATAAATCTGGGCTCTTAAAATAACTTTACATCATTATCTATGTATTGATAGCTTTAGCAGTCTGCTGCTATTTTCACCTTGTTGGCATTTTGTCTGATTTATGGGAGTTTTTAAAATCTAAATAAACAGTTATACCATATTTCACTTCAGAAACAAGAAACAAAACAATTAAAAATAATTAAAAACAAATTAGGTAAAAGCCTGTCAGTGAAGTCTGACGGGACAGTGGAACAGCGTTCCAAAGCCTCGGGGCCACCGCCTGAAACGTTCGGTCTCCGTGGGTTTTAACACGAGTTTGACTTTAAGACCTCAAAGTTCTGGAGGGAGAGGGTCCAGAAAGTCCAAACTGTATTTGGAAATGTTGTATTTATTTAACTATTAACAATACTTCAAAACAAACACATTTAATTTAAAATAATCAGTTTTAGCTAAATAAATGGTTTTAAAAATGTCAGCAGTAGTTTGCCTAAGAGGTGTAAATTCATGTAGCACAGTTTTTCCTGCGGTGTGTGTGAATTTTCTACACGGAGAGCGGAAGTTTGCTGGAAAATGGCACCCATGCGCTGCAACACATTCAGTGTTCATACGGAGGAGCTCCTCCAGCTGTTTACCAGCTGTTTACCTCCGTCTCTCTGGTCTGCTCCCATTTAAGTGAAACAGACAGTTCATCATTTATCACATGGAGTTCACTGTGAGCGCCTGCAGGAAGCCGAGGCCTCCCAACACCCAGCCCACCTCTGCCATCAGGTGGTCAGAACCGTACTCTGATTCCTCTGATCTCTGCTTGTTCTACTCGATTCTTAATAATATACCCCCCCCCCCCCCCACACACACACACACACCCACACACACTGTCAGACACACATTCAGCTTGTCTCCTTGTCACATTCATAGCTGAGGGTTGAAGCTCTTGACTCCAGAGAGTTCACTGGAGAGATGAGATGAGGGAGGAATGAGAGCTGTGGTTAATGGTCCATGAAACACACACACACACACACACACACACACACACACACACACACACACATGCACGTGCACACACACACACACACTGCTTCTCTTCCAAACACACCTGAGCCTCCTCTAAGCAGCGGCCTCAGAGGGAATGCAGCATAAATGAGTGTAACCACTAAGCATGAGGTGAACAGGAGGGGTAAGAAACAAAAACGTACCTTTTGTAGCAACTGTGATCCAGAATATTTGGCAGAAATCGATTTGATTTCTCCACCAAACGCAGAGGCCCAAAGCTTTACTCTGGAACAAAGAGACAAAACCAGATTAAAGGCAGTTCAGATGAAAGTAAGCATGAATAAATGATAAATATGAATAAAACACAACAATACATAAAGATAAAGAAAGAAACAAATGCACGCCCCTGGATCTGCAGAACAAATACATCTGATGTCAGTTTTTAACTTTAAAATAATTTCTGTATGCTCGTTGACTGATGTTCAACCATCTTCATCTTTTCACTCACATCATCTTCATCATCACCCTGACCCTCACCTGACCAGTCACGTTCTGTTTGAGCTTTCGTTCAACACTGACCGACGTTTACACCAAAGGTCAGCGTTACAAACTCAGAAATTGGAGCTTTTTAATCATAAAAACCCTTAAAGAATTTGTTTTTGGTTTTGTTAATATCTCAACTAAAATTCTCCTTTTGTTCTTTGTTCGCAAAACTCACACGTTTATTGTGAGTTTTTTCAGTGTGTAAATTGAATTTCCCTGCAGGTGGGGTTCGTTCAGGAGTTAAAAAAAGGTGCAATGCAGCTTTTTAACACCTGAGCTGAAAGATCACCGCCGTGACCTGAAACACTCAATGAAACAAATGAACAACCTTTTATTCAAATGTTTGTGTTGGCTGTAAATGTGCACATAAAATTAAAGGATTTGATCTTTAACACCTTAAAATGATTTATTTAAAAAACCTGTCAAACATTTCTTCTTCTGCATCAATTTAAAAAAAAAAAGATAAATTGTCTCTGAATAAAAACACACCTTTTGCTGATTGTGTTGTTTCCACTATAAACAGCAATCACTGCTGAGACTTTTTTTTTTTAAGTTATACACATATTTAAAAAAATAAAAAGTGAACTAATTAATAAGATTTAGAAATAAACTTTTTTTTATTTTTTTTTATTTTTTTTTATCCCCAGCTCTTCATTTAACTCATTTCAGAGCATCACTGCTTTAATCTTTGTTTTACCTCAAGGTTCTGACTCGGTACCAGTGAGTCAAAAAGGTTTCTTACGCAAATTAATGATCATAAACTGTGGATATAAAACAGATCCATTCAGAGGAGTATCAGAACCAGAGAATCACACATTTTCTTCACAAAAATTATTATTATTATTAAGTTGCTCCTGTTTAAATTCTTAAATCCACCGTTTGAGGTGAAACTCAAGCTGCTTCCTTCTCACTTACACTGACTGAGGAATCCCTTGCTGGGACCCCGCCGCCCCCTCGGACCAGCTCCAGCTCACGCAGGTCCAGGCCAGGAGGAGGATGCTGCACCGGCGCAGAGACGGAACCCTGCAGCTTCTCTCCATCTCCAACTGCGCGGAGCAAACAGGACCCGTCCGAGCGCAGAACCTCCGGTCCAAACACAGCTGCCTCTGCTCGCCCTCCACTGGATCTATATGTTTGGTGGTGGAGGTGGGGGGTGGGGGGTGGGGGGGGGAGAAGGTGCATGAGGGAGAGAGAATGAGAGAGAGGGAGAGCTCTGTGCTCCCCTCCTACCCTGCACCCCTCATTTGGCTCATGGTGCAGGAATTTCACAACCTTTTCTTCTTTGTTTGCAGCTGAGAGACACAACGCACAAGGCTCCATCTGCTAACAACAATATGGACTATAGATCTGCTGGGAAATGAAAATAACTTGAATTTCTGCAGCCCAGTGCCCCCAGTGAAACCTCCCAATGAGCGCTGACCCTGCGGAGTGACTGTAAAGAGTTGGAAGCACAGTGTAACCATTACAAAACTGTAGACCACCAGACTGTTCCCAGTCTTCATCCTGCAAACACCAAGATGTTCAACCTGTGAAAACGCACATACTTGATTATTTTTCTTTCTTTTTCTTTTCAAATGTTCATGTAAGTGATGTGTAACCCAGAGTTCCATGCGCCAAAGAGAAGGATTCCCAACAACGGCACGGCTCTGTGGGGGATAATGACACTGCAGATGTGTGATGGAGACTTCCGCACTGCAAACAGTAAAAGAAGAGCGAGATGGGGAGGGGGAACCCACCCCAAAACAAAATAAAACAAAACAAATACAGTTAAAGATGAATCCATTCCACCTCCTTACTAAAGGTATTTAAATGCAGCCGAACTTGGACGGACTGGGACTGATCCAGCAGCATCAACTTGGCGCCTCTGCTCCTGATTGGCTGAAGTCTGCTTCATGTCTCCATGAGGAGCTGCAGCTCCTCTGCCGCAGAGCTGCAGCTCCTCATGTATGAAAACACTTATGTGGCCCCTCATTATTCAATCACACCGGAAGCTGTCCCCACCGTCCTGCACTGTAAACGCTGATTAGGAGGCGATGATGGCGCCAGCGCGCGCCGCCGTCCCGCCATCACCTCCACGGGAACCTTGGTTCCGACTTGAAGCTTTTATTAGTTTAGTAATTGCATCGTACATCAAAGTTGCGAGGGGCCCCCGCTGCCTGGGACCTGCCGATAAGGACCCCGCGCGCGCTGCATGATGGACAGTATCATCCAGTGTCTCCTCTGATGCGCGCGACAACCACTCTCAGAACCGTGTGCTCAGAATGGTTTCATTAACTAAACAGCATCAAATAAATAGACACCCCCCCCCCCCCCCTCCGCACAGTGCTGCAGACTCTGGTGCTGTCCTGCTGATGTGCCATTGAGCAAAGCTTTAAATGGACACCAAAAGTTCTCCTGCAGCTGCCATCAATAGACGAGTTTTGGGTTTCCGTGTGGACACTTTGGAAATTTCTGCTTAAATTAAAAACAAACAAACAAACAAAATTTTGAAAAAAATGTCAATAGTAAAAATTCCAACAAATTTAAATCAGGTCATCTAGACAGTTTCTTTTTTCTTTGCTTTTTAAAAAAAAAAAAATTGGAGACATTTTGTCCTTGATCCAAAGGACTTCATCAGTCTGAGGAGCCACAACAAACTCAGTAACTCACATAATGGACCAACCAGTTTGCTGGTGATAAGATGGTTTCTGGAGCCCACCCTCCCCGTCAACTCCTCTGAGGCAGCCATAGCCAAAGTGGTTCAAAATATTAAAGTTCTGATGAAGTCCTTTGGTTGAAGGACAAAACATCCCAGCAAAAAAAAAACTGTTTAGATGACCTGACTGAACTTTGTAGGATTTTTCACCTGGATTATCGAGCATGGACTTTGATGTTTTGAATCACTTTGGCCATGGCTGCCTCAGAGGAGATGATGGGGGAGAGGGCAGGCTCCAGAAACCATCTTATCACCAGCAAACTGGTTGGTCCACTCTGTGAGCGTGCTGATGTGGGTCTGGGTTTGTTGTGGCTCTTCTGACTGATGAAATCCTTTGGATGAAGGATGAAATGTCTCAAAAAAAAATCCAGATGACCTGACTGAGCTTTGTTGGGCATTTCACAGAGTCTTCAGTTTGGAGTCACATCCAGGCTCATGGTGCTGAATTCAGACTGCCTGGAACTCAAGAAGTTTCTTCAACAACGTTCAGTTTCCCTCAGGTCTGTGCTGTGGAGACAAGGTGATACTTTTCCCTGTTTGTTGGGAAGTTTGGACGCCATCTTCCCAGAATCCATCTTGTCTTCAGATCCAGTGTTGCGTGAGTGACAGCTTCAAACATGACTGACTCTTTACAATCTGAGAAGCTGTTTTCTGGTCATTTTGTGCCATTTTTTATTTAATAAACCTCTTCATTGTAACAGAAAAGTATCATTTTATCCTCAGTAGTTTTAAGCTTTCAACATTAAACATGAATTTATTTAGCTTGACTTATTTTTATTTCCCATTTTGCATTTACAGTTGATGATGAAGGCCTTAAACTCGGACCATCAGTCAGCTGCTTCCACCATGCTTGGCTTATATACTTGTTTGTTTAGGACTCGTTTTTTTTCTGATTATGTTTTAACAAGTGAAATTCTTGATGCCTGTTGGTTTGGAAAAACTGCGGAGTCACTAAAACGTCTGAAACATCAAGAGTCTGAGGGATGGAGGTTAATTAGCTTGCAATGAACTGTTCTTTCAGTTTCAGGTCACAACCGTTTTTCTTCTTGTTGTTTTAAAGGAAACAACAAACTAAAAATGAAAGGTTACTTTTCTGTAGCTGTCTGCTGCGTTGCTGTCAATAATTATTTAATCATCAGAGTATGAAGAAGGTGATTAGTGTCTCTTGCAGAAGCAACCAGAGAAAAACAGTGTGGCTCTTTTAGCTCCTCAGTCAGTCAGGAGGTGAGAATCAGAGTGACGGGACTTCTTTTTCACATTCAACACAACTCAGTTCTCATCTGCAGAGATTTCTTAATTTAAAACTAAAAGGTGCAGAAAACAAACAAAAAAAAGTCATAAAAACGTCTTGGACTGAAGTTGCCAGCCTCTAATTAAGGACGTTTTCAGTCTGGATTCAGTGGGACCAGAACTCAAGAACACTGGAAACCCCCCTTTTTATTCATTCAACCTTTATTTATACAAGTTAATCCCACTGAGCCTCGGGGACTCATTTATAAGAGAGACCTGGTGTTAACAAAGAGTGATGACAACAATGGATACCAAAGACAACAATAGACAATCATAAAAAAATGCATACAAATGGAGAATAACAAGGGAAAATAAAATGGTATTTAAAAGAAAATGTAACCAAAAAAAAAAAAACCAGCTAGGTTGATGTAGAAAACTAAAACCAGGAACAAGTTTGTTGGTTTTTCCCAGGAACTTTGCAGATGTTTCAGATCTTTTTGTAAGATATTCCAGGAAACAGGAGCGGAGCAGGAGAAGGCCCTTTTGCCTAGTTCAGTCCGCACTGAGGGAGCACTGCAGGTAATAATGTCCTGAGAGCGCGCGCTGTAACTGCACTCACACAGAGACATGTAGAAGGAGATGTATGAAGTCAACAAACCAAGAAATGGTTTAAAGATGAAAATGTACCAGTGGGAGAGTCTGCGTGAAGTTAATGATGTCCAGTTAACCAGTGAATACAGGGTGCAGTGGTGGGTACGATAATCACAGCCAGTTATGAATCTTAGTGCACCATGATAGACAGCATCCAACATCTGCAGGGTTCTTGTAGGAGCGTTCATGTAAATAATATCACCATAATCAATGGAGGGAAGGAAAGTTGCAGATACAAAGTGATTCCTAGCATTCAGAGTTAGACAGGATTTATTTCTGAAACAGAAAACCCAGTTTAACTTTCAGTTTCCTTTCTAGGTTTTCCACGTGAAGCTTAAAAGAGAGATGCGAGTCGACCAAGATTTGTAGGAATCGACAAACTCAATAGGGACACCGTTCGAGGATAAAATTGAAGGAAGAACTTCTGGGACAGAGTTCCTGTTTGAAAAAAGCATCCATTTGTTTTTGGCAAATCTGACTGGATGATGTTGAAAGCAGATTGCAAAACCTGGAAAGCCTTAGCAACTGTTTTAGCTCGACAATAAACAGCTGTGTCATCAGCACAGAAATGTAAGGATGCATCAGGGATGCTCTGACCTACATTACCTATGTAGATTGTAAAGAGGGTGGGTCCTAAGACTGAGCCTTGTGGTACACCATTGTTGACTGTTAAATAACTGAGGAAGTATCATTATGTTGAACACATTGCCTCCGGTCTGAGACATTCAGTGAACCATCCAAAGGTGTGATGTCAGAACTTTTTAGAAGAAGGTGTTGGGTGATTATCAATGTTCATTTACTGTCAGTCCAGCTTGTTCAGTAGAGTATAGACAATAATAATGTCAGGTGGTTATTTATCTGCATAGAGTCAGTTCTTAGTTTACTCCTCTCCACAGGCTTTAAAGTTATTTTGTTATTCGGGAAGGGAAGTTCGAAACTATTTGTCACAATAAACTCTTAAATGTGCTCAAAATGAGGCCATTTCAGATCAAATATATTGAAACATCTTTATGGTCATTGTGTTAAAATGACACGGTCCACAGATAACCTGAGCTGACTGTGGGGGCGGCTGTGGCTGAGTGGTTAGAGCAGTCGTCTTCCAATGCAAGAGTTGGGGGTTCAAAACCCACCAGCAGTCACATGCCGAAGTGTCCCTAGATACTGAACCCTCATAGCCTCTGATGTGTGTCCCATTGGTGTATGAATGTGATCTAAAGCACTGATTAGTCTCTTTAGAATGATTTGTTCAATTAGCTTTGTAGAGATATAGAGTGCTGTATGAATGGATAAATGAGGGCACAGATTGTAAAGTAAAGCGCTTTGAGTATCTCGATAAGATGGAAAGGTGCTGTATAAGTACAGCCCATTACTGTACTGATGCTGGTTCAACCTCCACTTCCTCTTAAAATGTCTAAGAAAAGCATCAGCAGGTGGATGGAGGCGGAGGATGGGATGCAGGGACAC